ATTCTGCGAGGTAGTGTCGAGCCGTTTCTTCTTTTATTTCACAGAAGCGGCAAAAGGGGTCTGGTAGAATACCCATTATGAAGAGGTTCTTCTCAAGGGGCAATGGCCCGTTAGGATACCTATCAGCCTCCTAATTCCCCTCCTTGAGTTAGAGAATAACCATTTCGCTTCTTTTGGTTTGATTTCCTTCAGAAACTCCTTCGATTGCCTATGTCCGGGGGACAGATTCCATTCTTTAAGGAATTGTTTCATGCCCCAGTAATTAATACTCTCTTTCGCTGTGCTTATAGAGTGGGGGCATACCGGTTGTGGCCCGACAAACGCAGTATTTGAGCCTCCTTTGGCCATGCTGTCCGCCTCTTCATTGCCATAGTGTCCCTTGTGAGCTGGTATCCATATGAGGGTTACCCTATTCTCGTACCTGGTAGTAATCCTATTAATAAGTTCAACAGTTTCCTCCACCAGCCTAGATGTTGATAGCTCTTTTTGTAATGACTTAAGACTGGCCTGACTGTCGGAAAAAAATTCTAATATCTTTTCCCTTAATCTTGTTATCCATGAGTGTTCTGCAGCAAACATTGATGGTCCAGACCTCCGCCTGAAAGACTGAGGTGTTATTACCTAGAGGGGAGGAGATGCTGATCCCTAATTTAGGTATATGTATTCCAGCACCGCTCCTCTTGTCCTTAATGAGTTAGCCGTCGGTAGACAATGGAAAATGAAGATAAACGAAAGCAAGAGCGTCCATGTCACATTTACATTCCGAAGCAAACCTCATTTCTCACGATATACTACAACAACCTATCCTCAAATCCGACTGCGTTCGCTACCTTGGGTTCCACCTAGACTCACGACTAACGTGAAAACAACATACACGACTGACACGCCAAAACCTAGACAGACGGTCTACTGCACAGACTTAAGGAAGACAGTCTAAACTATTGTCAAAAAACAAACTTACAATTTACAAAACACTACTACAACCGATTTGGACGTACGGAATAGAACTGTGGGGAACCGCTAAACCTTCCATTATCCAACGTCTCCAATCCTTTCAATCTAAAGTCCTCAGATCCATTGTAAATGCTCCTTATTATGTATCAAATGCTACCCTCCACAACGATCTTCAAATTCCTTATATCCAAAAATTTATTCCCCAAAAATTTACCAAGTTCCACAAAAAACTCTCCCACCATCCAAATAGTCTTGCCCAAGCCCTGTCCAATAGAACCCATCCCGACAACCCCAAAAGGGGTCTCAAGAGGAAATGGCCCCGCGACCTCCTTTCTGAGTAAACAGTAAAACAAGATAAACAAAGTGAAGAGGGAGGATAACATTGATTATATGCTCCCCTCAATGTAAATAGTTCTATATAAGTTCATGTAGTTCATGTGTACATATTGTAAAAATAATTACAGATTGTAATAAATTAAAAAAAAAAAAAAAANAAATTTAATTAACAATTTATTTCATAGCTTTGCTCGTAAAAATACACTATTTTAGTCGGGTAGCATCAGAACAGGACACTCATAGTTTTTGTAGTTTATTTCAAACTAAGTGCATGTAATTTTGTTGTTATACTGATTACAACATGTTATTTTAATGTAAACCAAATTAAACGAGATCAAAATTACAGATTATAATAAATTTTAAAAAATATATTTAAAGTGGGTGGAAATTTTTGCCGGTCAGTTTATTAACATGTGTAAGTATTTTTTTTTTTTTATGAGGGTATTTCAACTACAAGGTTATTACCCTCGGGGTGTCGTTGTGTTTGAAAAAAAAGCCCATTCATAAAAAATTATGTCGGGTTTGAATGCAGGGCCGCTGGATTCGAACCCGGGACCTTTACCTTACAGTGATGGTAAATAATATTGTAAAGTTATATTACAAGTGGGTGGAAATTTTTGCCGGTCATTGTATTAACACGTGTAAGTACATTTAATTGCAATGCAAACCGTTTTGTTATTTTGTTAAGGGTGAACAATGCCATCTGCTTTCTCTTAAATCTGTGGTGTTTAGTGACCTTTAATTAATTTTCTCGTAAATATTAAATAAATGTCTAGCTGATAAATAAATATTATTTGTAGGAAAAGGCTTGGTTGTGGTGTAGTGCAGGCTTAGTGGAGTGATGGAGAAAAGCAGTGTAAATGAAGTGTTCGTGAAGTCCGGATAGTTTCGTCGGGAGGACGTTCGAGGGGGCTCTTGTTTCGGTTTCATTCAGTCTGGCTTGAGCGCTCGGCCGCCTCGGGTGCTCCGGTCATGGGTTCGGTCGCCGAGATTTGCCGGCATCTCGAAAAAGAGAAAAAGTCAATTGTTCGCGAATTGAAGTGCACCAACATTTTGACAGCGCTCGTCAAAGAGGAGGTCATCACCACTTTCGAGGAGGAGCTTATCAACCGCGAACTCGACGACAATGTCAAAGGGGATCTGTTCTTTTCACTCCTTTCGAAAAAGAGCGTGGACGCTTTTAAAAATTTCGTCTATATCGTCGAACAGGAAGCTCCTCACATTTTGAACTCGGTCATTAAAAAAGGTAAACTTATTTGAGTCAATAGTCGAAAACATAAATTGGTTTCGTCCTCTTAATAGAAAATAAACTTCTTTTGCTATTAATGACATTTCACTAATTTTACATGCATACAGTGTCAACTTATTGGTGTAGTTTGTTTATCTCAAAAACTAATCCACTTAGAAAAAAAAAACTTAAACGGAATGTTTTAATGTAGGATCTACTGGTAGTTTGTCAGCCCCCACACTGTGAATTTACGTAGAAAAAGTGATCAATTTAGGCCGGCCTAATTTAGGCCTCATCCCTGATCACCTTTTGTTCGTAAATAAAAACGCTGCCAACAAATTCAAATAGAAACCTACAATTTTTTGTTTCGATTCATCAATTTCATTCGATTTGATAAAAAATGGCAAAAAAATTTGAAATCGTTCCAGAAAGACATCAGATAGTGCAAAAATTGTTTTGAAGTCGATAATGAATGTTTGTTTAACTTTCTTTCTTGTCTTAATGTAATATCATAACCATTTATTTCCAATTTTAAAAAACTTAGGCAAAAAATGGAATAACCATATGTTTACAACTGTTCGTTTTTGCCTTTATTTGCGATGAAGATGACGGTGATCTTTTTACAAATTAATCCTTCGTCGATCGCAGAATCCACTGTCACACGATATGCCATTTCCTGCAGATTTGTTATGGGAGTAAAATTTTTGTAATTTTTATTTTCTAAATAGCCCAAAAGAAAATAGCACAGTTGGCTTAAATAGTCATCATTGACTTTCAAAGCTAAACAAAAATTCATTTTTGACTTAAAAGCAATGGTGTTCTAATCTATTTCCTATTCGTTTTTGCCAGTTTTCAAATAGACGAATGAACGTAAATAACTGATTGCTAGCATTTGAAAAAAAATTATTGTTAGATTTTTGTTTTTAGATGGATCAGTTTCATTCGCTTTTAGAAAAAATGGCGAAATCCATTTAAAATCCGTCGAGAAACATGTTAAATATTGCAAAAATAACACGTTAAATCAAATACTGCAAAATACTTTTCAAAATGAATTTTTTTGTTAACTTTTGTTTTCTGGCTTAACACAGTGTCATTTATTTGAAGTTTCAAAACAGTAATAAGTTTACAGTAATTGTTCGTTTCTGTAGACAACTTATTGGTGTAACTGGTTTATCTCAAAAACTAACCCACTTAGGGAAAAAAAAAACTTAAACGGAATGTTTTAATGTAGGCTCTACTGGTACTTTGTCAGCCCCCATACTGAATTTACGTAGAAAAAGTGATCAATTTAGGCCGGCCTAATTTAGGCCTCATCCCTGATCACCTTTTGTTCGTAAATAAAAACGCTGCCAACAAATTCAAATAGAAACCTACAATTTTTTGTTTCGATTCATCAATTTCATTCGATTTGATAAAAAATGGCAAAAAAATTTGAAATCGTTCCAGAAAGACATCAGATAGTGCAAAAATTGTTTTGAAGTCGATAATGAATGTTTGTTTAACTTTCTTTCTTGTCTTAATGTAATATCATAACCATTTATTTCCAATTTTAAAAAACTTAGGCAAAAAATGGAATAACCATATGTTTACAACTGTTCGTTTTTGCCTTTATTTGCGATGAAGATGACGGTGATCTTTTTACAAATTAATCCTTCGTCGATCGCAGAATCCTCTGTCACACGATATGTTATTTCCTGCAGATTTGATATGGGAGTAAAATTTTCATATAGACGAATGAGCTTCATGAATGTGTAAATAACAATGTCTACTAGCATTTGAAAAAAAATTTGCCTTACTTTTTTTCATTTCATCATATTTCATTTTTGAACAAGAGGAAATATTTTTATTTTAATCAAATGGTAACTTACAGTTTTGTTTTTAGATTTATCAATGTCATTCGCTTTTGAAAAAATGGCGAAATCTATTTAAAATCCGTCCAGAAATATGTTAGATATTGCAAAAATAACACGTTAAATCAAATACTGCAAAATTCTTTCCAAATCAAAAACGAACTTTTTTGTTAACCTTTGTTTTCTGGCCTATATCATCTGATGTAACAGAAAATTTTTGCAATATCTAACGTTTTATCTAAGCATATTTTTTAATTGTTTTCGCCAGTTTTCATAAAATTTGATGAATATGCCAATAACAATTTAGGCTACCATTTAAAATATCCCACATATATCGTATCATTTTAAAAACAACTGTAATTAATTACAACGTTTGAAAGTAGACCTTATAATAAAAAATTCTGTTTAAATGTTTTCTAGATTGAGTAATTTTTGAGAAAACCTAATAAATTGATACCTCTATTGTTTGTTTACACAAATATTTATATTTTTTACTTTAACTTTATGACAAAATACAGTTCTAGTGGCTAATTTTTATACTAAAAACCTATTTGAAATAGATTTTTTTTTAACTGAAGTAAAAACCCAATTATTAAACTATTAATGTTGTAACAACTATTCAATTAATCTCCATATAAACTAATCCGGCATATGGGCTTTTGTGTTGAGGTTTTTTTTAATTTTTAAAACGTCTCCTTACAAAATAGTTTCTGCTCAAAAATATTTTTTTCAAATGTGACTTATTTTTTAAATGTAGCGTTAAAATGGTAGTAAGATTTTGTAGTTATTTCTTTTCTCTTTATTATTTAATAGTAACCTGTATTATTCTGTCAAGAAAATAATTATTTTTCTTTGGTTATGTTGACATTCTATTTTCTTACTTTCTACAGATAATTTATTTTTTCCTACATTCAGGTCTTTTCTTGAAAGAGTGTTTATTTTAATTGTTCTAATGTACGTTTCGTCAACCTGTGTCATTTTCAAGTACAAATAATGTTAAAATAATTCGGTAATTAAATGTCGTACATCAGAACAATTCATTCAAAATTCAATAAACATTTTCAAAATAAGCCTAAAAGTAACAAAAATTAAGAAAATTATTCTTTCATGTAAATAAATTGTATTTTTGCAGTTAAGTTTAAATAAAGCGTTTTCGTACAAAATTATCTTAGAAGTACATAAATCTTAATAAAAAAAATAAATAAACAAAAAGGCAAAATCTAAATAGCCTAGCTTATAAAATTATAAAATAAAACATACACGTCTGCCATGATAGATTTGACAGGATTTTCCGAAAATTATTCAAATTCAAATATACTTAAAAAAAGAAAGTATTCTACTAAATGTCCTCTTAAATAAATAACATTAAAATAAAATTGAACACATAACTAATTTGTGTACCTACGTTTGTAATTAGTGTGACAAAAATAAAAAAAATCGTGCTTATCAAATCGGACGAAAACTCGTCAAAGTTTAATAAAAAATAATAATAAAAATTATAAGTATAACTAAAATTAAAATTAAAGGCAATATTCTTCCGGTCTAAAAAACAAAATTTAGGTAGTGTTTGTGGGATAATTTGCCTCTTAGCCACCGACATTAAAAAAATCCAAGAAACTTCAGATAGAAACAGCTTAACAACACGAATTGTTTTATTGTCGTTTAATTGATTCTATTTTATATTTTGTAAAGAATATTTGCATTTATTTATTTTATGATAAAGTGCATAATTAGGCCAAGAAATGTTTGAAAACCCATTAAACGTACTTAATATTATAATTGGTTTATTATCCATGAATGTTGTGGTAACTTATTTAAAAATAATTTGAATGGTAGGTGTAGAATAATAGAATTTAACTCAACAAGTTTAAAAACATTGAATCTTCATACAGCAACAATTTTATAATTAAAGTTCAATTTTGCACTGTTGATATGCAAATAAATATCTATTAAATTAGTTATTACATAATCTAAATATTATCTATTATACCTAAAAGTTTTATTTTTTTGGCCCCAAATAATGGACTGTTTCAATAGGATACGAATCTTCTAGAATTGTATAACTTATATAGGGCGTCCTGTGAACAGACGTCAATACTTCAGGAGGTTATCCTACAAGACAAACCAGACTAAAAAGTCCCTATTGTCTAAACTTTGATCTCAATTGCTTTCGAAATATTTCGCTCTTCTGGTCAGTTTAACTTCTTCTCTAATTCTTAAATTTAATTAAACTATTGAAAATGGCATTAAAAAGCCTATGGGATTCATTAATTTTTTTATTGTAACCGTAAGCAAACAAATTTCACAATCACTGAGTTGATACAATTTTATGAGTTTGCAAATTTCTTGTCTAAATTTTTAGTAAATTTTCTTGGTTCCGTAAATACTGGCAAGTGACAAGTTATTGCTACTAATGAGCATTAAGCACTTAATTTTACAAAGGTTAGTTATTACCAGTCTTTTTGAGAAAGATTGAACTGCATTCTCACTCCACCAATGTAAAAGTAACGTTTAATAAGTTTAATTTTTTGAAATGGACCCTATGGATCTCTACATATATGAAACTCTTAAATATTAAGTCTATTCTATCCTTGTCACAACTAAAGCCGGGAACACACTTACCCGATACTACGCCATGCGACGCTACCCGATGCTACCCGACGCAAATTCAAACTCCGATTTTCCATATGAAACGTTGTGGGGAAAAACAGGCTAAGTACACGATTTGTTTTTCCAAATGAAAATTTATCCATATTGCAAAAATATTTTCAATATTTAATTTTTGATTTGATGTGAAAGGTGTTTAAATTTAATAGCTGTATTTTTCATTAAATTTTTAAGAACAGCCTAGTGCTTCAAACATAATGGTAAATCGATTTTTTGCTCTCCTGTAAAATTTAGAAAAATGGAGATGTACTGTTTTTCCCCTGACCCCTTCATATGGTTGTATTACCCCCGTGCACATCTGCCCGATGCTATGCCACGCTAACCTACTCTACGCGCTGCGATCCCCACTGTCCAGATTTTCGTCGGGAAGCTTCGAGTAGAGTCGAAGACCAAAACACCGGTCACTCATATTTTTATTTCAAACTACATGTATTATAGAAATGATAAATGATGGAGTGAATGTGGTGTTCAATCCTTTTTAAAAAGATACCTACTCACAGT